ACCCAGATACAGTGGCAGCCCTGCTAGCCGACGAAGCCTCGGCGGGATGGATAGAGAAGGTCGAGGGTGGCCTCCAGCAACCCAAAAGTCGCTGGCCCAAAGGGATAGCGGTCGGCAAATTAAGCCTCGTTAAAGCCGACAACAGAGACCCTCGCCTAGTACTGGACAGCACGGTGTGCCAGGTCAATCCACTATGCCGAGTCCCGGAAGCAGTCTCTATGCCTACTGTGCAAGACGTGCGCAGATCCTTCCAGCCTCAGGACCCTAGGGGAGTTTATGTGGCCGCGAGTATAGATTTTAAAGCCGCGCACAACAGAGTCAAGGTCCACCCAACCGAACAAGGCCTCTTGCTCTTCAGGTTTCAGGGTGTCCTATGGCGCTACGTCGTATGCCATTTCGGAGCAAAACTTTCAGCCTACTGGTGGCAGCGTGTAGGGGGCCTCATCACTCGCCTAGCGCACCACATACTTGCATCTTTGCCTCATAGAGCCTGGCTCTATGTTGACGACTTGCTGGCAGCCCTGCTCCGGGCCTCAGCTCATGAAGCTCTTTTCCTCCTCATAGCCCTTCTTTCCTGCCGTTATGCGAAGCCAAAAGAGCCAAACTGGTCCTCCAGATCCAGCACCTGCTCAGCAAGCCGAAAACGCCCAGGAAAGACCTCGAAGCCTGCGTAGGCCTCTTGATGTGGGCCACAAACATCAGTCAGGTCCTACGAGCATACATAGCCCCCTTGTACAGCCTCTTGCATAGCCCACCCGGCTCCAACTACTCCATAGCCCCTCGGATGTGGCCCGCCTTCCTGCGCGGCCTAGATTCAAGAGCAGTCGTGGTCAGAGAACTCATAGGGGTCAACCTGCCCATGCAGTCACGCATCATCGAGGTGGGCAACAAGCTGGTGCGCTGCAAAGCCGACTTGCCTCACTTCCCCAAGCCTACGGGAAACCTTTGGGTTCGAGTATCAGACCCATCTTGCCCCATCATCAAAGTCACCAAGGCCGCCCAGGACAGCCTGCGTTGGCTCCTTCCGCGCATTCAGGCCATTCCTACTACGCCTCTAGCATTGCCGCCTTTGCTGCCAAGTTCAGCTAGAGCCGACGCCATGGCCGAGGGAGATAAGGTCGGCACAGGAGGATGGGTGTCTACAAAGCACAGTATGGCCTGGTTTGCGGAATCCTATGACATGCAAGAGATCCGAGCATATTGGCCTTTCCTGTCCAAGGACGCCCAAAAGTACATAGCCTGTTTCGAAACCCTAGCCCGGCTAGCCCTGGCCATGACAGCAAAGGCTTACCACGGACAGACCAGACTTAGCCTCTGTCTGCCAACTCAGAGCGATAATACGCCTACAGAATTTAAGGGGGAGTCAACAAGCTCTTCACAACCAGTTGGCCACTCTCAGTCTTCCTCGGCCTCATAGCATCTTGGAGTTCGGCCAACAGCGTCCACCTACAGGTTACTCATGTGGCGGGGGCGCACAACGAGTGGGCCGACGATCTTAGCAGAGGACGCCTACAAGCCTTTGCCCATCGGCCTCAAGAACGCCTTCGGATCTCTCTCAGCATGCTGGCATCAGCGGAAGCATCTGCCTCCTGGACACCATCCACTCACGGGGAGATGCCGCCTTTCGCCGACAGGCCAGTCGCAGCAGAAGCCTAGGCATTCTCATCCGCTTGCCACAAGACGGAACCTAGCCTCGACTCGCAGAGCGACAGAAAAGATTCGACCAGAGTCCGCAGCGAGGCTTCTAAGTACGATGCCTATCTCAACTTCGACAGTCAGCCCAGCCGACACAACATTGCTCAGGCCAGATGCACCGCCCGCGGTGGGAGTGGGGGACATCTACTTCGCTTGCGCCTGTTGCCCGTTGCATCTGTACACTGAAGTGGGGGTTTCTTTTGCAGGCCTCGGCTAGCCGATGCCGGG